TCACGGCAGAGGCCAGCCAGCCCGCCCCGGCTGTCTTTAAAGCCAAGCTGAACAGGGCCTTGCTGAAGACCTTCGAGGAGATGATGCAGAATGTGGGGTCCCCGCAGTTCCAGGTGGTGGATTCCCGCCCCGAGGGCCGGTTTCGGGGCACGGAGCTGGACCAAGGTAACGGAGGTGGGAATGGCACCTTCCCCTGCCCGCAGCAGAGCGGGATGAGTGCCAGTACTAGTCTGGGTGTAACGACTCATCCCAGCCGGCAAATGGATTTTAACTAATGTGCAGGCATGCCTGAGCCTAACTCGTTGGTTTACCTTAAGGGATCCACAGTTGAGCATTCGGATCTCAGTGCCCTCACGGAAAGCTTTTCTTGCAGTTGGCTGTAAAGCTGCAGAAGGAAATGGAGGAAAAGGTCTGCAGTCAGTTGGCACCAGGATCCCCCAGCCCATGCCCTGCAGAAGTTAATCAGAGGGAATGCAAACACAGGAGGTGTGAGCTCCCAGGGGTTTGTTCAGGGTCCTATCTAACGCTAGCAGACACACACAGGCTATCAGTATTCACACAGGCGCCTCTTGCTGTAATGAATGCGCCAGCAAAAAGCACAGTTTTTAGGCAATACAATAACCCAAGGGACGTTTTCCTTCTTGCTCTGGTTTCCAGCAAATAGAGAACTTGCTTCAGCTGATCTTTGTCCTTTTGCTCTCTGCCAGCAAATCTAACCAGCTTAAGTAAGAAAAGCCCCAAACCTTTCCGAACGTGTGAGCTGTCAACCTCTCTCTTTTGGATGCCCCAAGAAATGGGAATAAAAACTGACTTTGTTACCTTGGTCAAACACGAGAGGACACACAAGGAGCAGGGGTGGGAGAAGTCTCGCGCAGTGGGAGCAGCTGGTGCAGCAATGTGCCCAGAATGAAATTCGAGTTGGTGGTTATAGGAGGCCCTTGCTGTGTAATTTAAGCCTTGGTGTGTCCCAGCATAACCTCCCCTCCGAAAGGCAATCACAGAAATAGTTTAAAAAGGAATGGAGGCTTTCAGAAACAAAGCACAGAACAGCTCAGTGGCAGTTGTTGGGTGCAAGTTGAGCTCCGTGCTGCAGGAGCAGGCATGCGGCAGGCATCTGTGGCCCTGAGGCAACGGGTGCAGGTCAGTTGTTCTGTTCTGGCTGTTTTCTTATGTCTGTGCTGCCCTACAGCCGTGACAACGCATCCTGAAGTAAAATCCCGCTTCCGAACCTCAGGCTGTAAATGGCTCCGCTCACGTGGTACGCATAAACGTCTATACAGAGTTGTCCCAAACCCAGTCGGCCTGTGGGGATGGTGAGAGAGGTGACAGAGTGACAGAGGAGACTGTTGCAGGGGGTGTTAGGCTTATCGCTCATTCTGTTTCTTCACCTACTGCAGCTTGCCAAAAGTGAGGGTTGAATTTTAAGCTCGGGACGTGAATGAAATGCTCCTCGCTGGGAGCAGGTGGATTTCACGTTCTCTTTCCCAAAGTGGAAGTCGTCACCAGGTGGCAAATAACTGCAGCCCCTGACAGCATCTCAAAACCAGATTTTTCCTTTTGAAATGAGTCAGCACGGAACAGTTTATTTGTGGTGGTCCAGTTTTGCTTCCCACAGCAGATCCAGCAGGATAAGCACTCCAGCTGCAGCTGCTTGTTCCACAGGAGCTTGACAGCCTTCTGAACCAGGCCAGCCAGTAGCTGCGCTACAGCCAGCAGTGGGTAAAAGGCAGCGCTTACACCTAAAAGAGCAATTTGGAATCAATGCTGATTAATTATGAGGGTTGTCCAATCGGGGACGATAAAGGTGACCTGCAATTTGGAGAAGAATAATGGCCTTGAGGTTAAGGAACTTGCTGCATTCTCAGGTGATTTCAGTTTAATTATTGCCTCAGCTCTTGACTTCCTAATTAAGTCAATTAATCTCTCCAGTTCCATGAACTCCATCTCTAGAAGAGGCTAATTTCAGCTGACTCTTTTGCCTCTTTAGTTTTTCAGTTCCTTGTGGTAAGAATTAGTTGTCCCTGTTTTATTTTTGTGCAGCAGCTACCTGGCTAGTTTTAGACCTCTACAGAATTTAAGATAAGCCATAATACGTGGCTGTTTTCTAGGTGCTTTCAGAGGTTTACTCCAGTTGCCAGGGTGGAGAAAAATGGATGACGTTTCTATAAGCAAGGACTCAAAAGGTGTCAAGTGCAGGTGTTGCTCTGGATGAACAAGTTCAGGTGTCCACGCATGGTGTGAGGCGTAAGCCTGTCAGATGTGCAGCCCCTTCGGCTCTGAGTGGTTCAAGGTGTCCCTGCAGGGTCTCCTGTGTTTCTGGAGGAACCAGTGATTCGGCCCTCCTCATGAGTTGTTTTTCAGCAATGGACCAGCCAGGTTCTGCAAGGGCCTGCTTATTCGGGCACTTACGGGGTGCAGGTCTTTGGAACTTGCCTGAACTGAGACAATCTACAGGCAGATAATAAAAATAATTGCGTGATGGTTACTAGTGCTGACTAATTCTGAGTATTGGGCACAGAAAACGGAGGAAAGGGCATTATAGCTGAACAAATGCATACTGAAAAGGCACAAATTTCTGAATTCTTTTTGCTGGACACCTGAGAAAAGAGGAGAACGTTGCCAGACAAGAAGGCCATTATCTAAAAAGGCAAACCCAGAGTCATTTCATGAGTTTTCAACTATTTTGCTTCTCATTCTCAGCCCTTGGGTTGTACTTGTCTCCCTTGTGCATACACAGCTCTTAAGTTTTTGCCCATGGGGGTTGGACTATGTGATCTCTAAGGGTCCTGTCCAACCCAGTGCATTCTGTGATTCTATGATTTTCCCTACTTTCAGTCCTCCCTGCCCCAAACGTAAAGCTTGAATTGTCAGTGGCAGCGGGAGCAAGAATAAAATATTGCTTCTTCCCTCTCTTCTCCAAGCGTCTGCAGCTGCGAGTGGTCTGGCCCTACTTTGACCATGAGGTCATGCTCAAGGCGCAGTGTGGAGAGGGAAAAACTTTATCAAAGTCTGTTTCAGCCCACGGGAACCTACAATCCAAAGCTGTCCATTCATGTGATGAGGCTGACAAACATCAGCTGCCAGAATTAGCACCATGGCCCTGCTGGTTCTTAAAGAGTTGACTCTCCTGGCTTGTTTAGGCACGCTGAATTTTGACATCGGTGGCAAAGGGTGATTGATCTGTCTGCGAGGAATCTCAGGGAGCTGGCCAGGACGAAGCTTAAAGTGTTCCTTCCAATGAGTTCACGGTAGGTTAGGTGAGATCACTAGTGGTCCCTTCCAAGATGTACGATTTGAATGAAAGAGAGAGAGGTAAAAAAAGGAGGCAGCAGAGCAGGCATTTGGAAAAGAACAGCTCTCTGCAGCCAGCCAACTCCAAGACCACAGGGAGTTAAATGTGAACAAGGAACATCTTTCATCTTTTTGACGTTAAATTCCATCTGGAGCTTTCATAGGAAAGGCTAGAGAGAAGGGGCTGTAGTCTTAGCTAAATAAATAGCCAACAAAAAGTGTATATTTAAGCAGAGAATCTTAACAGATGTGGATAAGGGGATTAAGCAGTGAAGAAAATAACATATTACAGGTTACAAATTGTGAGGGAGGATTGCCAGAAGCCAAGCTGAATTAAACTTGGCAAAAGGAATTAAAACAAATAACAAAAACTGCTGGGCAAAGTGAATAAAAAGAGAACAAGGAGAGAAACAGTAAATAGGGTTGCTGTGCAGTTAGCAGGGGTTCCAGATGAAAGATTATTTGTGTACAGCCTCAGAATTACATGGAGTCTGTGCTACTGTTTGTTTTGTTGTTGTTTTTTTTTTTCTCCTGAGGGTAAGTCTGCAGAGTAGGGGGAGGGGTAGCAAGAAGATGGGGAAAGATGCAGAAATGATAATTTCTGAAGAGGCAGGATGTGTTACGTGCTCCGATCTGTGAGGCAGGCAGTCTGCATCCCAAATATATGCCTAAAGGCAGTCATGTGACATTGCAACCCCATGAGGCAAGAATTTAATAAATGTAATCAGAGCATGGCTCTGTAGGACAGTTTGTGTTTGTATTTTGGAGATAAGCACCTGGGCATACCTGGGCAGCTATTGATCTATTATCATAACATGAGTAGAGTGGAAGGCTTTCAAAAAACTTCAAGAAAAATTGTTTGAAATGCAGACAAAATTGAGTAAAATAGTGTGCTAAACTTGCACTGCAACTACAGGCCCTGTTTCCTTGCTAGCAGGATTGCTTTGCCAGCTGAGAGAAATGAGAACATGCATGCCTGGAAGTTATGTCTGATCTTTATTTCCTAGTCACTCGAAGCACCTGTGAGATAGACTGGTTCCATCTGGTCTTCATTAATACTTTGGACACAATATTAGCAGGGCAATTCTTAGTTCTGTGTGAGGGAGGACAAATAGCACGCGTACCTTTAGATTCCCGGAAAACTAACTGAAAGGTAGGTAAGGGAGATAAGAACAGCTTGTGCTGAGAGTGGATGTGCCAGCGTGGTCCCATCATTGTGCTTCTCTGGTTTATTTCATGTTTTTCTGGATCATTGCTGAAAATCGGGAGTTGCTACTGAAATGTGCTGCTGGCACAGCCTTGGGAATGTTTAAATAATCATGTGGGAAGTATTACATGAGGCACCACCCGCAGTGATAGAAGTGACAGGACTTGAAAAGCTACAGAGAGCAAGGCTCAATGCTCAGTAGCCTGAAATGCTTAATTGCTCACATTTCTCTTACGAGCTGAAGACCCACATTTGGAAGCAATAGAAGAGGATAGGACTTGGATGAATTAGGTGCAAGAACCTCAGATGCAATTTGGCCTTGACAGCAGCAATTATTAACCTCCTCCTGCTGATGGAGATGCTATGAAATGCCACCTCCTTATCCAGAAACCAGATGGTCATCTTGAACTGTTTCTGGGGTGGCCAAGGCAGCATGTCTAATGAGCTCTTACTGCGTTTGGGCTAAGGGCATGAGGCTCTTGGGAGTGCTGAGCACTCACTGTCGGTGTGTTGGAGCAATAGCAGAAAGGGAAAAATACCAATTCCAGCTGCCGGGCAGCGTTAGCTCACGGGTAAATGGTGTCTGGACTGACTGCAATGATCTTGATGTTGGAAATGAACACCCCTCCTCATGTGAGGGAAGTTTCATGGCGAGAATCCAAACTAGTCCTTAGGTGGATGCTTTTATGAGAGGAACCCTATAAAGTAATTGCTGTAGTAGCTGGGAGCTAGGCTCTGTAGTCCTAGGGTTTTGTCCTGGAGTTTGTAAAGGTGACTGCACGAATCTGGCACGGATTGTGCTCTGTGTCGTATGAGGCAGGAGCGGATGTATCTCTCCCGTGTTCAGATCCCAGCTGCATCCAGCCCTGCCTTCCAGTCTTGTGTTTCTCTGCTCTTGTCCTAGCAGAGGGAGAGCTGATAAAACTTCCTCAACCACTCAAGAGCCCTTCTCAGGCAGTCCAAGGGCTTGTAGCTGTGCAATGTCAGCTCATTCTTTCAGCTGAACACACACATACATGAGCAAATGCAGTTTCTACAGAATTCCAGCTTTCAAGTGTAAGCACTGGTTTCTCACTCCAGCAGACTTCTGAATTTCTGAAGCACGGAAGTCTCCCTATAGATCAAAGTCAAAAGTGCCCTAAAATGAGACTGTTCTTTTCAGATCTGCTCAGCTCCTAACTGAAGCCTTGTTTAATGGTGGTGAATGTATGTCACGGCGATCTCCAAAAGGAGAGAGGTACCAATCTATCTACTGTGTGAACAGTCTAGAAACCAGTTGTGACCACTGGGCATAGGACACCTGAGAGCTGCATCAGTGGCCCAGCAAACTTCTTTGAGCCCTTCTAGTTCAGTTCCGAGGACTTCTTGGCCTCAGTTCACTTCCAAGTGCTCCAGAACAGTGTGAGAGGGTTGTTTTGCTGCTCAGAGACCTGCCTATATTGGAGTCATCTCCAGTACAGCAGCAGAGCCTTGCAGAAATCCCTTGCCAAATCATAGGGTCAGGACAATTCACTCTGGGAAAGCGGTAGCCTAACCCAGGTGGGTGACTCTCCCATAAGAAGCTCTGCTGTAGTCTGAGAACTACGAACAAGGTGTTCTCACACTCATTTCACTCTTTTTCAAATATATATATTTTTATTTTCCCTCTGTCATATGGACACTACATTAATAAGCGTGGGTTCTGCAGATCTCTGTACTGAAGTGATAACTTGTTTTCTGCAACTGGAAAAATTGTGGTGAAAGCATCAGTCCAAAACACTGTCTTTTTTCTTTTTTTTTCATATTAGTCCCTCTAGAAGTCAGCAGTTTTTCTCCTGACTTCTCCCTGTAATGCTAAACACTTTTGAAGGATGCACGAGGTGACTAGTAGACAGCAGTGCCAGATTTCTAAGCCACTCGGGAAGGATGAATCAAGAGACAAGGAGGGTCCATCTGGAACAGAGAGAGATCTTGTGACGTTGACTCAAGGCAGCTTTGGTTGTCTTCAGGCTCTTATTCTTTGTCCAGCAGAGCAAAAATCCCTTCCTCAATATCCTGCCAAAACCCCGTTTCCCCCTTGTGACCTCTCATTGTGTCGTCACATCACTCTGCGTGGGCAATGGAACCGCAATGTCATTTTGATGTGTGATGTCAGTCTCTGACGATGTAACACTTTAATCATTTGACAGCGACAAAGGTCCCGTGCCCCAATGTCTCCCGTCTCCTGAGATCAGTTACCCTCATGACTTAGAGCTGTCAGTGAAACAGATCACTATTTCCATGACTTTCCCAGGGCTGTCTCATTAGAAGTTCAAACCTAGCAAGGAAACGTTCCCCAAAATGGATTTCCAATGTAAAATATTATGTTTCCTGCTCCATTGAGGTTTGATCCAAAGCCTCTCAAAGTCAGTGGAAAAGCTTCCACTGAGTGTAATGGGCTTTGATTAAGCTGATAGTGACAGAGTTTGAATTTCAAGGGCGTGATGAAAATCTTATCCAGCATATTTTTGTATAGGCTTCTTTCTAAAGACCTTGTTCTTGAGATCCAGCTTTCACCTTGCCTCAGGTGGTCAGTTATACCAGTAGAAAAACAGAACCCATGCTGATTTCATCCATGTGGGGGATAAAAAGTGATAGAAAATCTAAAATCTCACTTCTCTGACCCCATTGCCCCGAGATAGCTGCCTCAGCAGTGGTGTGGCTGACTTTAAGGTTGCTTTATGTTTCTGAAGTATGATTGTAGGGTGACACAGGAATAAACTGTGATCAGATAACTATTTTCACACATTCCATATACAAGCCATGCGTCCTGCTTCTGAAAGCTGTGTCACTACATGCTGTTGGCATACCTGGGGAAGGTCAGAAGGGCACTACTCTGCTTCTCTTTGCACAGATCCCCTTAACGCCCTTGTCAGGATCTTTTCGGTGGTGGTTCTTTTATTCTTTCCACATGCAGGGCTTTTTCAGATTCCTGCCTGTCATTGCTTTCAGGGTGGAAATAGTTTGCTAAATTTTCTTTGACTTCAGCAAAGTTGAATAATCTTTGTCCTCCTCTTTTTAGCCCTGTACTACTTTGTGTCTTTGTCACCACCTGAAACAAATTCATGTCTTGGGGAGAGTGGGAGTCTGTGCAGGGATGTCTCTTCAACGTCTCTTTTGTACGTGTCTTTCGTCACCAACGTTACCACCTCTTTGGTCATGTTCCTTTTCTTGTTCACTCTTGCAGGGCTGGAATCTGGTCACATCCCAGGTGCTGTGAACATACCCTTTGTTTCATTCCTGTCAGAAACTGGCCACGAGAAGAGCATCGAGGAGATCCAAGACATATTCCGTGAGAAGAAAGTGGATCTCATGAAGCCGCTGGCGGTGACGTGCCGCAAAGGCGTCACAGCGTGTCACATTGCCTTGGCAGCCTACCTGTGCGGCAAGCGCGATGTGGCGATTTACGATGGGTCCTGGTCAGAGTGGTTCCACCGTGCCCCACCTCGCTACAAGATCTCTGAGCTGAAGCGCAACAAGGCCTAGAGGGGGAGATGTTTCTTGGGCAAGGAGATCTAGCAGCTGTCTCCAGCTCAGGATACAGGGAAAGGGAAGGGGTAGAAGTAAAGAAAAAATACACTGATTTATATTTTGCCAATTTTTCTAAGGATAAGTGAATTTCTGTAGATCTGTCAGGTTTTCACAGTGAATAAAATCTACTTCTAAGATGATGCATTTGTGAATATTTCTAAATTCCTGTCTGTTGCCTGTCTTCTGCTTGTGCTGGGTGGGAAAAGCAGCTTTGCAACATGAAGGAGAGTTGCACTCTTCCCTGGAGACCTGCAGAGGTTCCAGCAGCCTAGTGAGAGCTCAGATCTGTGGTGGAGCAGAATGGATGAAAAGTCTGGGGCTGAAATACAGCACTGGGTGCTGGACGCAGAAGAGCCAAGCTGTGGTTCTGTTGTTGACTCAGCATGAGACCTTCTGCCAGCCCACCATCTCCCCTTTTCTAATGTGGAAAATGGGGGCACGTGCCCCTTTCTCTCTGATGGGGGTCAGTGAGCTCATGTGAAGTGTTTGGATGTGCTTAAAGATGCCGTCTGCTTAAATACGGTCTTGTTGATTATTGTGACGTTGCTAGAAAGTCTCCAAGAAATCCTGTGGATGTGATGAGAATGTCTGGACACAGGTGTTTCACAAGACATGAGTCTTTTGCTCTCCTGCTTCTTTTTTCAATCAGCAAGGATGAGCCTGATCTCTGCCATGTTTCTTCTGGTTCCCATGGAGACCACAGCTCATAGATAGAGGGAGGGTTGTTCCCTAGCAACTGCCTCTGCACTTCAGCCTTCATTCTACCTCCATACCTAGGCTTCAGCAGGACCTGGCTGCTTGTACAATTCACTGTGACACCACATCAAAGATCATGGTCCAGATAAGAGAGGTAGTTATGGAAGAGGCTTTGTTAAATCCTGAATCATTTAAAAAAATAAAAAAAAAAAGGAAAAAAATTCCAATGTCATTTTGACACCCATGGGACTTCTCATGTCTGGAAAGGCACTGAAATGTCCTCATATTTTGGAGGTCCAGCCAAATGGGGAAGGCGTATGAAATCATTCTGCACCACATCTGGTGACTGGTGAAAATGACGTCCCGATTCCTGTACCTGTCTGAGGAGGATAATTTTCTGCCTGGGAAAGACACCTCCCTCTTTCCTCCATGGCCACATGTCAGGAAAGTCAGTGTTAGGCTGTGCTAAACAGCTGGGTTTTGCGTTTTTTTTTCATTCAGAAAGAAAGATCAAGTTTAATTATTTTTAGCTCTTTGATCACTGTACATCATCTGTTGTCCCTCAGAGAATTGGCGTAGCAAAGGAGTAAGTAGACATAGTTCTGTCCAGGAGGATGGTCGAATGGCCTTAAAGCCTTTCTTGGCATCAAGTTGTAGGAGTCCCAGAGTCGTGCTTTGACTTCAGGACTTCAGGCTCAGAAGTAGAATGAATAATAGGCAATATCAATAATATCACGTACAGTTACAAACTAGGAAGTAGGAGCAGCTGCAGACTTTGGTGTCATTTTATCTAGGAGAAACTGGAGACATTAAATTTATCAATGAATGGTGTTTGAGAAATGAGCACGTTGACTCATTACACAGAAATTCTGCTCTGTTAGAAGAAATGGGAGAGGAGGAATTTCTATGACAGCAGACTGAAAAATTCTTTCCACCAAATATAGTAATAATAACAAACAGTCACGTTTTTGTTTTAAGTAGGAGGTGGGAGTTAACAGGAGTTTATTTAGCAACACAAAATTCCTGCACTTCGATCACGTGTAGAGGTTTGGCTCTTCTTTAAAAAGAACGAAAAGCAATAGAGAAGAGAAAGAAATTGTGCCCGTGATTAATTTGGTGGGAGAGGTCCTGTCTCTGAATACCTTTGCAAAGCACACAGCGCTGACCCCTGCTGTCTGATTGATACAGGAACTTCAGCTTCAGGATCCCAATATGGTAGCCACTGCACAGTTCTGGCACTGGGTAAAACACAAGGTGCTGGTTCATGTCAGCCCCAGTGGGTTAACTTTGAAGTGGGAGGCTTCTGTCCCCGTCGGCTTCATTCCAATAGCTAGCCTCGACAGCAGAACGTAAGCAGAAGATGTCATGTTGTTAACTGATTTGGCAAATGCAGCCAGATATCCCTACATGATCCAGAGACCATTTGTACTGCTTCTGGTATTATTATTATAATATATATAATTATATATTAAAT